TAGATTTGATCAATAATACTACCAGATCGATCAATATGCAGTGAGTAGCAGAGCAGTAAAGTAAGAATGAAGCGCTTACCAGCCTGGGTTCCTTGTAGGTAAGACCATAACCGTCGATCAAAGTACACCGTGCAAACCAAACAGAGCAGATCGTTAAATATCGGCGATACATATATGGCCAAGTACCAGTAGCGGACATCTCGAACTGCACTCGATTCGTGGGCGTGGTCTATACGATCATAAGCGGGTGGCGTCGATGGCTGGCGATGCCGACGGCCGGTTGTTTCACAGACAGGAGGAGGAAGAGTTTCGTCGTTGTCGTCGTCATCTGCAAGCTAGTAGAGGTGGATCGAGGTAGGGGAGGGAGGCGATGATGGGCAGCAGCATCAAAGCGACGGCTATTCATCGTCCTCATTTCGTATGCAAAAACTTTCATATGAACGACGCAACTGGGTGAAGCGGCTTTTGCCAGGCGGGAACGATGCCTACAGCTTTAAGCTGCTCGACAAAGCTGCCTCCATCCACTGGTTGTGTACTATCGTCATAGTCCTTCGCAATTGCCTAGTAATAGAATGGGCTTGGGCGTCGTGAAAACGAGTTGTTTGGTTTTCTAACCAATATAATGAATAGGGCTGGTAATAGACCTTCTACCAACCTAGTTTTATCAACACCAACTGATTTGAGTCAGTAACTTTGGGAAAAAGATGAGCCGAAAAGACCCTCACCCGAGGTGTGTTCCCTATAGTATACCTGCATTAAGAAAGGTTCATTCTAGGGAGTAGGAATGCAAAGAGAAATTCATCAAACTTGCTAGAAAACACCTTTTTACTGGATCGATCTAGCAGTAGCTCTTGGTTTCCGACTGTGACTTTCTTCCAAGATAAAAGGGCTAAGAACGGTGTCCGATAAGGGTTGTTCGGCATTGCCCGGCACACCATGCTTGTGAACCTTTGCACCTATCGGATTCAGAGGATTCTAGATTGATCAGTTTGCGCCATATACCCGACTCCTTCCTCCCAGAGCTTTGGCTTGTTCCATACCATTGGCAGTGGTGTTCCCGATCCTATGATTGACTCTTACTTTCTTTGCTACCATATTCAAAAAGAAGTTGTAAGACAAGGTTCTTGGGTACGTTTGCAAAAAAGTTCATATGGGAACTGGCAGCGGAATCTGCATCAAGAGAGAGTCTATAGTAAGAGGCTGGAAATGACGCAAGTAGTTGAGACAAGGGCAGTTTACCTCAGTAATCCAATTAATCCAAGTAAAAGCTGTAGAAATGACTCTTCGAAATGCACTAGCAAGATAACCACTGTGTGTGAATCGTTTGCATAGCAATGAAAAAATTTGTCCGTCCCTGCCTTATCATTATCTTAGGTGATCGCTCGTTTTCTTTCTCCCATACCCAAATGGGAAGCTCTTCCTCCACTGATGCATCCGAGGGGACTTATGTTTCCTCACCTTACCGAACGGGGTACCTACTGCTATGCCATAGCAGCTGCGCTCATAAGTGTTTAATTGGACGTGAATCCTTGTAATAGTAACGTAGAACCTTGGTAACCACGAAGAGTGAAGGGTAAGCAGGGTACAGTGGAGGCTTACAATGGAGGTTCGGCTATTTTGAGCACAAAAGCGGAGTGCCAGTAAAGTAGGGTGCCTTTATATACAAAAGAGCTTTCGCTATGATCTCCAAGTGAATCCACGCTCTCATCCCTCTTTTCTCTTATTCTCAAGACCACAGCCTTATATTGTTATGCTAGACTCTAGAATTTACTATTTGAAACACACCAGTAAAGAGCTTACTTATGACTGCTCCCTTATGATTTTAGCCTGATTCGTGATTTGCATATTTGATATTAGGCCAGAGGGTTTGTCAGTGGATGATTGGGTGGGTCCGTTATCGCTTTACTGGGGCCTACCCTCAGTAAAGTATAGAAGTAACTCCATTCTTCATGGTATAGGGTGAGTCAATGTCAACCCTTGAAAAACGCTGCAAGGAGGTGGCACCCACCCGAGATCAGTTCTTCTACTCGCTCTTTGTCTACCTCTGTTCAAACTGTTCCGCTAGACAGTTGTCTGGTCTGAATAGATTCTTTTTGTGTTCCAGACTGACACTGTCAACAGTGGTAACTGTCTTTGTGGATGGTGTTCAGTGGGTTCGATATAGGCTTTTTCCTGCCCAGTGGCCATAAAGCAGCGTCGGCCCTCCTTTCTTCAACTAGGCCGATCGGCACATTCTAGAAGCCCTTTTTTCTCATCATACTCTTGCCAACACTCAAGAAAGATTCTCAAAGGCAACTGTGGTGGTTGTGAGAATGTGGAATGAATTGTGTTGCCAGACAGAATAAGGGAAAAATTAGGTATTTAAAAATCAAAAATTTGGTCAGTTGGCAATTTATCGCTGTCAGAGAAGTGAAGGTGGAGCAGTGGCTGAAGTAGTTTAAATTGGAATATCGCAATGGTAAAGAATGAAGCCCATCTCGCGATGAAAATTGATTCCGGAGCTTTCTTGTATAGGTAGGACTGTGTAGCGCCTGAGAGGGCCGTATAGTGTTGTCGGGTCGGAAAATGACCTTGATTAGGCGCGGTAGGGGCTCAAAAACCATTTCGAACGGCCATTTCCTCTTGATATTGCCAAAAAAGAACGTGTTTAACGACCTCGTAGGGGTTCATATTGCTGGAAATGGAGCGTATTTGTTGATAGTACAGCCAGCTGATTAGTAGAAACATGGGTTGCCCTGCAGCGAATGAAATCTCGTCCAAACGCTATTTTCGTCGTTGTAATCTAGTCCAACCTTAGAAGTGATAAGTTCAAAAAAATTCCTTTCATCTGGGAATTTTCTCGTTCCCTTCGATTCCAATGAACTAACACAAGCGTGGTTCGCCTGGACCCCTACAGAAGAGTGTGAAAATATTGCAAAGTACTCTTGAAGTCTCACTACTAATGTCGATCCACTTGGGCGATCGCCACTTAAAAAAGGCCTCATCTTCAGTACTTTTCGTATTCCCATATACAGTACCAATTTAGCCGAAAGGCAATAGGCGCCGATCTGTTTGCATGGCCCGATGATGGACCACCTCCCTATCAGTGCTCAAATGTTGTCCAATTCAATCAAGAATTGCCAAAAAAATTTCTTCATTTCCTGTCTTTCAGATACGCCGTGCATCTGACTGTTGACTGGAACGGTAATGGTGTTTTATTATATCTTCTTCAATAGACACTAGCTTACCACGCCAATCAGAATCCTCCCAGGCAAGTTTTCCACAAATTAATCTAACAGTTCTCCAATTTTCTCATCTATATAGATCAAGTTGATGGCGATTTATACATTTTACATACATATAAAAGGCAATGGCATAAAGGCGTGGGGAATGTATGGAGGGCTAGTTGCTGCCGTCACGGAGATCTGACGATGATCGTCGTAAACCATCGTCAGATTTATGACTTCTAGTTTAAACATCCATTCGCACTTTAACAATGCTCAATGTCCTCATTCTTCTCAATAAAAATGGGAAATACCAACACATTTTAATAATAACATTTATTACCTTCTCATATATATACATGACAACAATTTTTTTCTGCCAATAAAACAATTTTTTTCAAAACACGAAAAAAAGAAAATCACTTATCACCTCACTAATTAGAATTCTATATATATAGCATCACCGTCACAAATGAAATGCGATTACAATAAGAAATAACGANGTAGCATTCTCGTAAATGTCAAAAGAAAATAATAATAATATTGATGATGATGTGTTTTACACGTGTGAATCGATCGTAAAACTGCCTTAAGAAAAGCGTGAATGTTAAAAACGAAACTGTGGCATCGATAGGACGGCTACTATCAAACCGATCAATCGAGTAGGCAAAACTCGATCAGAAACAAGAATGTGGCGCAGTCAAACGTTCACCATTAGCCCTATTAATGCTGGAAAAAGTAGCTTCGAAATGAATCATTCTGACTAGTGAAAAGGAGCTTCGAACGCTTTGCGACGGGTTCAACAGTAATAAAAATGGAAAGTCGGCATTTTTGAGAGCTTACGATTAAGTCTAATGGCTGGTTAGCTGACAACGTTTTCGCGAGAATAGACGCGTGCGGTCGCGTCGCGTCACCGTAATAAGAGAAACGCACCATTTTAGAAGAGAAAATAGGCACATGTTGCCATGACGGCTTTCAAAAACTCCTCTAACTCGGAAAATCACAAATTTCTCTTTTTCTGAACTTTATCAGGCCGGCGCGACGCAACCAGGCTGCAGACTCTTTAGAACTCGTTCTGAAAAAGGTCCACATAATCGAACGCCAAGGCGTAAAGGGACCAATACCATTTTTTTAAGTTTCCCAGGTACGGTCCTTGCTTCTTGTACTGCTTGGTCAAAGACGGAATAAACGAATGTGGTACAGCCAGAGTAGATGAGACCAGGAGAATGACAAAATGATTGAAAAGAAAAATAGAACCGGAGGAATTCAGTTCATCAGCTCCGGAGGAGGATTGTAGATCGTCTTCTCCTTGTAGTACACCTCCTCATGTTCCTTATCACAAATCAGTAACAACGAGGCTCCAAATGTGAATAGTGTGGCTCCCCAGGCGAGTCCGTAGGACCAGTCAACCTGTAAAAAGTTATGGTCAGTACAGTACTCACTTTGTAAATCATTGGGCTTTTCTGAATCTTTTTTGAGGCCAATGGGCCATTTCTATAAATAGTGGGGGTCAGTGTCAGTTCCTCTACCGTAGCAGGACCCGAGGGCTGAATTGGGAGGTAGGGGAGAACGAGCAACTCCACATCGCTCACTCCGACTTTGCGTTGGAGTTTGTTGGGGGGAGTAACGGAGATTGATTGATTTGGAAAATAACTACGAAAGCAGAAGAGGGTCAAATTTTGCTCAATCTTTTGAGTGTGTTCGAAACTGTGCTATTGATGGACTCAGTTTGATTACAGTAGCTACCCTGGGGGTACTGTAATGTAGTTAGAACAGTAATTTAGCAGTCTTCATTGCGGTCTTATCTCCCAGTCAGTTTGCCTAATAGGTCATGAGCTTGTCGACAACCCGTCGATAACGGATCTATAGGAGCTCGTCTGCCCTGCCTAATGGGTCTCCCATAGAAGTTCGGTGCCATGCGCGTGAGGCTCCGCTCCGTTGTATCCTACAGACTTCTAGGGAAAAACTGAGCATCCCACAATGCAGGGTGATGAAGAGGGTGTAAAACAAACTTTTTGGACCTGTAACGATATTGCTATGGTTCATCGCGATCACAGATTCCTGATCTTCCAGTCTTCCACTATCGACCACCTACTCATCCGTCACCCCTCCCCTCGGCTAGGTGGGTTTTCATCCATTTAATACTAAATACCTGTACTTAAGCCCTATTATAGCCAAAAGATGACCAGAGTGCATTTTTGTTTTTGCTTATTCGTTACTAATAAATTGTTTACTGTTATTTATTGCGGACTTTTCGTAGCCTTCGTTTATTCACCCAGGTTTCAGGGTTGTGCTTGAATAGGCGGTCGTAACGATAGCAGCACCAGCGATGGTCCAACAAGCACACACTGTTTTATTACTTCTACATCACCGACTTTATTCCGACGTTTATTTTCCATGGACACCCTTCTATCGAATCCGGGATGCCTATAGATCGGTAAGTCGTTCAACATTTAGTATTTTGAAGAAAATGATATGTGCGTTCAAAAAAAAAACGACGATGGGACATTCCCCAAACAGCATTGCAGGTTAGTTTTTTGTTTTTTTTCAGCTTTTAGAAGAATTTTTGAATGTTTTGAAGTAAAATGTAATAACGTTGAACCCACTGGAACACCTCCCGAATGGGTGTTGTGAATGGTAAACAGGTGTTTGCACACTTTTGGCAAAAACGTTACTTTTTGTTGGAGATAACAATTTATTAGGGTAGTAGTTGAATATGAAATGCTGTGTGGACCTTTTTTTGGGATTTTCGCCTCTCCCCCAAGAAAAACCAAAAATTTGTTTTGTAATGGAATGGAATGTTTCTGCCGAATACTTGTAAAAGCAGTGCCGAATTGAAAGGGATTTTATGAGCCTCAGTTTTCAGGAAGTAAACAATTAAACAACCCATAACAATAAGCAGGGTTTTCCAACCCTGCGCAGTAAATGGTAAATTTGGTATTTAGTAAATCCATGATAGGCTAGAAAAAATGGAACAGTCGCTCACCTCCCAGTCCCTCCTTGAGCCGTATTCCTTCATCTTTACGTAGAAGCAAGCCGGGAACACAATGAGTGCCGTCAGTTCCAACAAAACTGAAAAGACAAATATCTAGTGATTAGGAGTTTTCAAATTACAATTTTGATTACTTCTAAATTGTGATCCTCTTATCAGTCCTTTCAGTTCGGAAGCGCTCAAACAAAAAGGAAAAGTTCCTACATTGAAAATATAATTCAACAACAGTGTTAGGTTACAACAGGGGCAAACTGAGAGAGAAGACGTATCCGTTGGTCATGCTTTTCTTTTGAGGATTCAATCACATTTGTTCCTTGACATCTAATAAGTCGTCCAGACCACAATACCCATTTCCTAGTATTTTGAATCATTCGGGAAGAGCTTTATTGAGTAAGTAGTAACTGGTTTGGTCCGATTCATGAACCGTATTGACTTTGTTACTGAGGGGTTTCGTCGGCGGGGCAATGAAACTGTCATTGAACTGGGTAGTGAGTGTTTACCTGCTAGAATTGCCAAGTAGGTGGCGAATTTGTAGAAGATGTATTTTCGTCGAATATCCGATTTGCTTAGACCGCAGATATTCAAGAAGAAAGCGACTCCCGTAAATATCAAAGCGATGATCATCAAAGCCGCAACCGCTTTGATGTAGCCTGAAAATGAAGGTTTTAGGAAATAACTGAAAGCTAAGGGACCATTGTAAAGCATTGCCGACGACGAATTTCAAACCTACTTCATAGCAAAAAATTTCAATTATTTATTTGTTTGTTTATTCATTTAATACACCTTTTCTTTTCATTCTTTTTCGAAATTATTCATAATGTCTCAAAAAATCAGATGAGTTCATATTATTCCAATGTTAGAGCTGAATTGGAATAGTTCCACAAAAAATTATTACTTTGTAAAATATATAATTTTCTTAGAAAATGTATAAGTTTTATAAAATATAATATATTTACAACCAAAAATTCCAGACAGTTATTAAACCGCTTGTTTTTATTAATATGTCGTCCCAAGAACCTTTACTTAAAATTTGAAATTTTTAATTAGAAGTTTGTCAAATTCAACTTCATCAAATCAAATTTAATTGAAATGCCCATCATTAATAAATCACATTAATTATAATAATAAGTCGGTATTATTAGTAACATTGAATATTGATGCAGATCTTGATATTTCTCGTACTTATTGTTGCACTAAAAACTTAATTTCATCAATATTAAGTTGAATAATTGCAGAAATATTGAAATCAATGAATGTTAGAAAGATAGAACTGCATTAAATGAATATTTTCCTATATATTTTTCTTTTTCTACATTTCCTACTTTCCTAAATTAATATTTTTACAGTTAGAACTATAGGAAAATATTCAAAAAAATTGGAGTTAATTATTAATTACGATTTTTGCAGTTTAAATGAAAAAAAATTGATTTAAGTAAGAAATCCCTGAATTTCTGTTTTTTTCAGTTCCCCATCGTCCAATGTATCCAAATTAATGGTTTCATTCCTTGTATTGCTATTTTACTTTCTGAATTTAACGATAAAACATGTAATTACGGCAAAAAGAGCTTTGGAAACCCTTTCCGGTATGCCTGAAATGGGCATTTGGCCAAGAAAAGTTTCCCTACTCACGCCTATGTAAACTTCCCGATCATGGACGTCATTTGGCCAGTAGGCTAACAAAATTCCATGGAACTTCGTTGAGTTTTCCATCATAAGTATGCAGCTTCCAAAATCCTGTACATCTTCAGGAGTATGTCATTACTATAAATAGTGATTGACATTTGTAGGTATAGCTTAGGATCAGGCCGAAGCCGGTTGCAGAAACATCCCTTGAACGTGCTAGTAATACAAAGTACTGTCCCGAATTCACTCCATGCCTATGAAACTGTTAACTATTGGGAGACAAGCCTTTCCCAAACAGTTTTTATGGCCATGAATTAGCATGGTAACCTGCTATCTTACTGTCTTGGACTTTGCCTAATGAGCCATGAACGACGACCTCAATTAGAGTTGTGAGGCGAGGAGGTTGACAGATGGGACCACAACCTCTTTCAATACTGTATCGAGGGTATCACCGGGGATCCGAGCCTTTTTCCTATCTCCAAAAGGGCAAATCCCTAACCTTCGCTCTGAGCAGAAACTTCCCACACTTATCGATGCCGTGCCAATCTTATCGTTTCCAAATTGTAATGGAATTTGTAGGGCATCTTGAAGATAATGATCAAAGCAAAAAGAACATGCGTTCCTCTCCATCTCATCAGGCAGATGCCCTTTTTCAAAAACAGTGGGCTGACTGACACGCAAATTTCCTATTAGGGATATTTGAATGGGATTTCGCAAAAAATCGTAGCGTTCGAGAAATTTCTTGACGTTCCCTGAAGCCCATGAGCCTTTCTATCTCATCCTGGGCATTCTCTGAATATATCCCGTTTTATTCGAAAAAAAAGGATGCCACTAGAACATCTTGACTACGAGATTATAGGATGAGAAGGGAGTTTGATGGATCTAAGCAGTCGCTGAAAAACCCCGGAGCTCAGCTAAGGGATTTGTCATGTAATTTCTCCTCCTCCCCATGATAACCACTGACTAAAACCTCAGAATTTAGACAATGGTGGTACAAAAGTGAAAGAAATCTTTTTTGAGGAACAAACCAAATTCCGAACAGATCGAGCCAGCTTTTCATTGCTTAGAGTGAGATTGCTTGTTCCAAGTCCACTTGAAAGCCAAATTCCGAATTGACTTGGCTTTAATATCACTACATATAAAAAATATTTCGAAGTTCGACTTTGAGCACAACTGGGAACTCCAAAGGAAAGGTGGAAGGACGTGACCAAGAAGGACCTTCCCGAAGCGAATGCAACGACAGAGGATCTTGTAGATAGTTGGCTGTGAAGACAAGAACGGCGGGCTCTGCTACACAGAGGGATCGTCGCTAGGGAGAAAAAAAGAGAAAACGAAAGAAGAAGTCTATAGGTGGGGACTGGATGAATCACTGCGATTCGAATGAAACGTTGTGAGCGTGGCACATCCCAAAATCCCAAGCCAGTTTGTCGCTAGACGATCTACCAACTTTTGATCGGCATATGGTCTGGCTTCGATAAGACCGCTTCCTTCAAAGGCTTAGTCAGCCACGAGATCAACTAGCCATCAACAGTGGGATCAATTGTGAGAACAGCTGGCTCGGGACTTTGTTTACTTTCAAGCGAACAATGAAGGTACCCTTTTACTGCCCTAGATCCTGTTGAGTGGTAAATCCTTAAAACGAATGGGTATGTAAACCAGTAAAGACTACCAGCCTCTCTCATGAAGGACGAAGCTTTTCCCGGAAGCCCTACACAAGATCGGCTTTACTGGCTATACTGTAAGGTGGCAGCATCGGTCGTCAGCAGGCGGTCTAGTGTTCCTGAGTAGCCGGCTCTTGTTCCCACTCTGACTGGTTCCCAGAACTTGACCAGGTTCTCACTCTCATCTAGGTACATGAAATCGATAACAATGACTTGAAAACTGGTTTTCAATCAATGGATCAATATTATGTCAACGTATTTTCAGCAAGTAAACCCAATATTTGTTCGGCAGCGCCTCGTAACCTTGTGAAGAGGAGTTCAATTGAGGGCCGACAAAAACGCCGACGCTATGCAACTGGCCACTTTAAAGGGTATCAAAGAAAAACCATGTGCGTGCAACATCAACATGAATTCACAATCACAACGGGCTTTTTCCTCCTTGACGAACTTCCCAAAGAAATTTCCACATTCAAGGGCTGATTCCTGGAAGGTCTTTAACGAAATTCTCACAATTTGAGCGCCACTTTGGGGGAAATTCTTCAAGTAGAGGAAAACTGATGTCCGAAGGAGAGTAGGAGAGTCTGCGCCTATGAAATCAGAGGAAATAACCTATATTGGATTGATTTCACGAGTGTAGGTAAAGTTTTCCACCGTATCGTAAACAACTTCGATTTCTGCATGGTTCTATTAGGCTTTCAATATTAGATATAACTGTATAATTCTATAGATATGATATAAAAAATAATTCAGTGGGTCGAAATAACAATTAATAAAAAAGAAGAAAGATAAATAAATTGTTGAGAACCATATTTAATATATAAAAAGGATCAAAATATTTGGGCATTCTTGAAAAAATACAAAAGTGTATAATATTAGAAACAATCAAGAATTATGGATATGTTATGTCAACGATGTTGAAAGGCTGGGGAGTGTCTNAATTTGATCACAAACTCCACTCACCACTGTCTCTGGCTGGAGCATGGCATTTCCCTGGTAGTGGTGCTTCTCGTAGAGGAGCCGCATGAGAAGGTTCACTTGATGATGTGCACTCCAGGAATAGGCCCGTACGGAATGAGCCTAAAAAGATCGAATTCAGAAGAACGTCTCTGGGAAATCTTTCTTTTGATGCAAGACGGAGCTTCAGATTCGAAAGACATAGGGTACTGGTGGAATTGGGAATGTGCCAACCTATTCCTCATAAAGTTTAACGAGATGTGATTTCCCACGATTGGTCTGCAGTTCCATCAACTCCTTCAGCCATTTCTACTTATCTTTACTCGTTTTTTTGGTTTACAAGTATTTTTTCTCATTCTCTTTAAAAATGACACCATTGGCGAGAATCAGGGCTCACTTGGAGGTGATGGTACCGTGTAAAAGGCCATGAATTGAAGAATTCCCGTAGGAAGCGTCGTGAACTTGCTGGAGCTGAGCTGCCTGAGCTAGTTATCTCGCCTTACGGTATGCAGTTAGAGTCTTCAGTGGTGGCTACTGAAGCTCTTCAAGGCTAGGCTTGACATTGAGCACGGTGAAGGTTGTGTTTCATAGAGTGGATACCTGTCAGACTTTTTAGAGCCGGGAATTTTGACATGAAGAACCAGCCCGACCTCAGTGCCATCTAACCCCATGCTATATTCTTTGCCAGTGCAATGATAAGGTAAATCACCAGGCTTGTTTTGGACACAGGAAAACTCACTCAATGGTTTCGCTTCGATAACGGAAGGGTAAGATCATATTCTGAGAAGCTTGAAGTACCTACCTGATCGTAACCACCATGTAGAGCTAAGCGACACGATCGATAGGGCTATGGCTATGCAGAGACATATCAACGAAATCACCTGAAATGATGGATAACTTTTGAGTACTGGTGGATGTCTTCCTACTAATTTTATTTAGTTTACTATATCATTCTGGCGAAAATGGCTACGCCAGATGTATGATTTATTATATTTATTTTACATATGTAATCGGCTTTTATTCGAAATCTTAGTGATTTAAAGTGCAATTTCGGATGCTCATAGGATTTCCAGGAAGCCATGAATATGGACTAAGGATAAAATCTTTGCAAAGATCAATCTCCCCCTTGGGATGCGCCCCGCATTCGACTTCCATTAAAAATCTTAGTGGTGGTTGAACGCGTATGTGGCCTATACAATGACTTGCGGTGGACCGTCAATATGCAAATCAGCACTTTCATCCCCCAAGACGAGCCTAGTACTAATAACCAGACCTCGGAGGGATAGAAGGCTTGTTTGGCCTAGGCGGATTCCGATAGGGGTTTCGATCCCCGAACCGCGCATATGGGTTAGTGCGCCGCTTGCACTACACCACCTACTCCTCAAACAGTGAGTATACCGGTTAATATCTGAACTTCTTTAGAAGAGTACAGATTAGAGAGGAGGAGAATCAATCCCGGTTTTCATTCCCACACCATGGGATAGAAGGGCATTTATCTTTGCTTCAATGATAAAAAATAAGGGATTCAATCTGTTACATTTCAGCCAGAAGCCGTCATGTAGACTATGATCTAAAAATTTTAAGTCGATTTCTTGAATATACCTCATATATTTGTTGCAATTTTTAAAATTTTCAGCAGTCCTGAAAAATTACGGCCCAAGTATAGCTTTTTTTCATTAGTCAAAGGTCACCCCAGAAATAAAACAAGATTAAATCCAATACAATTAATCTTTCAGAACTGAATAATGGGCTCTCGTATAGCAATAAATTTCCTCTAACTTTCGACCGCGGTAGCACACTTCCAGTTGAAGTGGCTCCGAATTCACTACGAGCCTTCAAAGAGCACAGCTCTTCTGTCAAATATAATCCAATGGATAACATTTGGGGTGGTGGCATGTGGGCCGTTGCAATTGCCTTTTGAGTGGAATTATTGTGGTAGAGTGGTGGAGCCGAACAAAGAGGGATTTGGCACGCAACTTGGCTGCAATTAAAGGATTAGGTCCAAGGACGTAAAGTCAGTGTAGAGGGTGCAGGAGAGGTGAAACATGGCCAAACAAATTGAACAGCATGATTGAAAGGAAATCATCATTAGAAGGAATGAGGTGGAAATATGATTATAGTGAAATCTCGTCCACTTTACTTTAGGTACCGTAATTTAGTCTCGAGTTTTTTTGCTTCTGAAAAAAAACATTTAGAGAATGACTTTTAACTTCTATTTATTGAACCAACATAGAAAATTTTCGAAAGCATGAACTTTAAATAAACAAAATTACGGTAGACCGAATTCTCAGATAAATACTCCACTTGGCAATGATATTTTTCAGCCTTTTTCACTTGCATTTTAGCTTATTCCATCCAAGTGATTTCGCCGCTTGATACTGTACTTCCTATTCTACACTTTTATGATTTCATATTAACAAAGTACCCTTATTTAAGATTCAGGAATGAGCATAAAACTGCTGCTTCCTATCAGGCTTACTTATAAAAACTGGTAAAAATCCAATCATGAAAAGGGTTCACCTTCAAAGGCCGTACCACGCTGACTGTCTCTATCGTAGTCGTTTGAGTTGCAGCCATCTGAAATAGGAAAACTGCTTTTAAACGGAAATAAAGCTGGAGAAAGCGATTTCCACGAGAGACGGCGAGGGAATGAATCCATTACACAAGAGGAACGGAAAACGTTCGAGCAAATCAGGTTCGACGAACGAGACTTTGAAGTCGGCGAAGTGGGAAAGGATTGAATGATCCCGAAATCCATTTATATATAGGATTATAAAAACCGTTTAGTTCATGTCCTGAAGTACGGTAGGATCATGCGATGATACGATCATACAGATTAGAAGGCATGTTGTGAGGAAAAAAGCTGGTTTGGGTCGACTGTATGGATGAGTAGGGTGGGGGTTGATGCTTTATGCCAATCTGTAGATATATAGATGGAAATTAATCAAGCAGAAAGCTTTGAAGAATGAATAGTTGCCTCTGAAAGTTAATATAGAGATGAAATCTAAAGTTCTCGTTGTTACCTAATTTTGTTTTGGAGTGCGCCTGGCATTTGATTTGCGTTCAAAATCGAATTGTGACCATATCACTTATATAATGATTTGCGGTGGCCAGCCAATGAACAGCTCAGTGTTTTTATCCTCCCAGACAAGTTTTGTAGCAATTAACCGCTCTAGAAGGAGGGAAAGCTTGTCGACATGGGTAGATATCGATCCAGGATCCGACCACCGGACTATGCATGTCCGATAGTGAACCAATTGCCACCACAACACCTCCTACGGATATTTCATAAATAATAAAAAACAATAAAAAATAGCATAATTTTTAAACAATAAATAACAAACTATATAATTAACAAATAAATATTGAAACTTGTTAACGATAAAAAATAAAAAAAATAGTAGTCAATAAATATGTGAATAGTTTACGCCGAAGTCTCAAGGGTTAGCCCAAGAAGTTGGAAACCTCCATCGCTTCACCATTTATTTCAGAAAGCTTCCAGATCTTCTTATTCCGTTTAGTGACAAATAACCTGAAGGGACTGACGTGCCTTCGATTTAAAATTACTTAATCCAATTTTTTTGAACGAAAAGAACAAGCTTAACATTTTTATAGCCTTCTGAAAATCACAGCCTTTCAGGAGAATGCAACGAACTAAAATGACGAAAAAGTTATTTCAAAAAACCATATACAGCAGAAAGTATGATAGAATGGAAAGCTTCTAGAAAAACTAGAAAAGAAATGTATGTCAGACTAAATGTATACAAAAATCCCAAAAATGACTGCACATACTATTATTCATTTAATTATCGGAATTATTTTAAAAAAATACTTTACATAATTGATTCATTGCTAGTCATTTATTATTGCTAAGAAAGAGTTTTGAGTTTGAGTAAAGTTAGGAAGGGATAATACCGGGAATTCAACAGGAGAATTTGAAGAAAAGCGCTTCTTAACAAAGCTGGATGACGGTGAAGGAGGCCGGCTGATTCTAATTGATGGGGGGCGAAAATTGCAATCTTCACAAGGCAGGGGAAAAACCTTCCCGAGACAGAAAAAAACCGACCCTAATTGCACACTGACATTCTTCGCACCGCTCAAACGAAGATGGCTTAAAGACGTCAAATCGAAGGGGGCTGAAAAAAATGTCTGGGAAATCATTGGCGACAACGCGCGCACAGCTGGAGATGGCCCACCAACCGGTTGTCCAGCTCAAAATCCTCAAGCCTACTATCCGGATCAAAGCCGCCGCCATCGGACGGTCTTAGCAGGAGGTCCGTCGTTGTAATTTATGAAAATCAGATGGCTCTACGGCAAGGGACCAACTTACAAACCATTTAGAAAATTTTGTGGATTTTTGAAATAAAAATAGTGGGACCACTTATGAATACATACCTAGATGGGTCCTAGATGGAATTTCTCTACAGTTCATGCAGACATGGACATCTAATGGGTCTGATCTACTCAGCAGAATGCTAAAGTGTTTGGTTATAAGCATGGATTCGATTTTGACGCTCTGACAAAATATTTACCCATTCTATTCGATTTCGGGGGCGCAGCCCCCTCAACCACTTTGAGAAGCTCATCTTACTTTGGGTTCCGAATTTACAAACGCCTCCTTGGTTTGCCCACTATGCAAATTTCACCATTTGCTCACATAGAGATGTCCCCAGAGCCTAAATCTACATATTTTTGAACAAAGAACATTTATTTATTTGTTTATTTATAATGTATATATAAATATAAAGGAATATAAAAAAATGAAAGAAAAAAAGCAAAAAAATAATTCATAAGGAAGAACACAAGAAGGGGAGGGGCAGCTGGTGGTGAAAGGAAGGGGTGGGGCGAGGAAGCTATCAAGGTAGGCGATAAGAGGAATGAATGTGTGACCTAGACAAGCGAAAGTTCTGATCGACGATGAAGGGCAAGGCCTGATGGACCATGGCACAGGCATACATACGGAAGAATTTCTAGATGTGGGCTTACCTAAATTGTTGAAGGCCCTAACAATCGTCTATGTTCTGTGACACAAGAATGGGATGAGGGTAAAGCAAGAGGAGATCGAAGGGTGGGCGCCATTCTGTATTTTGGAGATACAGTTTCAAAGGGCTCACATGGTATCAGTTCACCGCTACTTCCCTCGAGAAGCCTTCCATTTCATCCTTAATTTTGAGGTCGAAGCCCGCCATGAGAATGACTACACATTCAACCCTGCTCAAGGTGGTGACGAGCTTTAGCGACACCAGGGGAAAAGCTGGAGAAATATATGGCAGCATCGAAAGAAGATTTTATCGGTCGACCACGAGATAGTTGACTTACAGCAATGTTTAAAGTTTAATAAAACACTAAAAAGCTCGAAATGCTAATTCATAACAGACGGAACAAGTTTTGGGGACCACTTGAGCATACTCCCCGACAACGAACTTTTGGATGGCGTTGCTGTGAGTTGGTGTGGCAGTTGGGGCATTGTAAAACTGTCACAGTTTCTACAAAAACTGGTCCATCGAAATGGTGAATATGCAGAAAGATCGCTAATCCTTGATAATCAAAGAATTTTCACTGTCACAGAGGATCAGTCCGTTCAGCCAATGATACAGAAAACCTTTTTCTGAAAAATTTTGAAGTGGGCCTTGAAATTGGAGGGTAAAAAAAGATAAATGCATTCAGTGCTCCATTCTGATGGGTGATGAGGCCTTTTCAATGACTCCTGATCCTAGACCACACAAAGGTGCGCCATATGATGAGGGACTGAAAATCGTCTGGCAGGGGCCTAATTTTGGAATAAGTAAAAAATAAATAAGGTGAAATGAATCATAATTCCGTATATCAAAGAATTTTTCATTTAATTTCCCCTGATTTTATGGCTCAAATCCGATTTCACTTCTACTGATTCCAAGGTTCCCGAGACTGATAGTAGATTTTACTTTTTAGTATA